ACAACTGAACCACGCTAAACTAGTACTAGTTCAACAGTAGGGCTTGGCGCGGTTCAGTTTAGTTAATTCACCTAAGGCTTCGTTCTTCGCCTGACTCTCTGCAGACAACAAAATATGACTGTTATATCAAAATGTCCTGAATGTTACGGGCACCACCATGTTGATTTCCTTCAATCCTAGAGAGCAGTAGTACCACAGATCGTCACTAGGAGGCGAGGAACTGGTCCAAGCTCTTTCCGAACTCTCCACGGATTGGTTTCAGAGGGCTAGCGTAAATGGGGGTTTCTTTCATCCCAATAAAACCTTTTTGAAGTTTAGGAAAGTTATGTTATATTTCAGTAACCGGATCTAATTGTTTTGGTTGAGAAAACCAGGACCTTTTATTTACACTAACAATTACATTTTTGTTCATGTTATTTACCATTGTACTTATTCAACCAGCTACAATGCTGGGTGAATAACAGCAATCATTCCTACAGATATTTGCGAGTTAGACATGCAATCAAAACATGCAAAAACAAACTTTCAAAACATTCTTACTTTTTTTCCAAGCTACTATTGACATATGAGGTTTAAGATCCAAGTTTTATCAAAGGTAAAATGATTAAAATAATAAACTGGTACAAAACTGGATACATGTGTTTCATTGTTGATGTTTTGCACATAGGCTGTAAAGAGATGCTGAAACAGGAGTGTTGGATCCTTCCTGCTGTATTTAAGATCAATATGTTGGTTGTTACTAGGGAACCGCTTGTCCTGCGTTGCATTCTTACCACCAATCTCCTTCATTTTCCGGGGCTCTGTGTCTGCTGCGGTCTCTCTGTTAATAAGAACCAGTCCCTTCCAGAAATATATAACCCCACTAACTACACAACTACCTCTGATCTTAGAGTGGTAAACATGTTCACTGTGGCAGGGGCTGACCACATTACAGCTGTAACACAGCCACACAGCCCCATGTTATGATGACCTTTGATGTAAAAACAATAAAAGAAAAAAGGAGGCAAATAATAAGATAAGGTACCTCTGGACTGAGAGTCCTGGGGTCTTCCTGGCTCTACTCACCAACTGGGGAGAACAACTACATACCTTCTTGGGCTTTTTTATCAGTTTTTATTCACACTTCTGATAGGATCATTGAAGTGATAAAATAGTCAACCAGCAGTTGGTACGCAAGTCAAAATTGTGTTGGGTTATTTCCCCTCACATATGGTTTATAAGTAACTTTTATTCTGGTAGCATTTTAAGCCACATTCATGACAGAAACAACAAATTATATGATGCATGTTTAAATTTTTAATCATAAAAAAATCAACCCATGCACTTTTTTAAAGGAAGATGTCAAAACATGTCTAACCTTAACCTGATAATTACAGGGGGCTATTCTTTAGGGGGATATTGCCTTTTCTTACTCCATTTACATGATAAAAATGACAAAGTGATAACACATTTTGCACCATTGTCAAATCAAAGAAAAAGAAGCATTTAACAAATTAAAGACAACATATTTATGAAGGATGGCAAATGGAGGGAGCAGTAATGAATAATGCTGACATGATCTTAAAGAATGTCCTAATACTCTAATGAATCAATGAAGGGATGCACTCATTGATTGATACCCTCAAAGAGAAAAAACTATATTTATATTGGGCCAAAAATTTCTCCTGGACGATTTATTGTTCTATTTCCGGTGAAATAGAAAATCACTCTAAATTGGGATCATGCATTAAACACTGTATGGTGTAGATTTCTTGGAAGCACCATGGTAACTGTGGGGCCTTCTAAATGCAGGCAGCTCTGCAAGGTAGACTTTATTTAAGACGCTCATTGAGAATATAAGAAATGGAGTGGGACTTGAGGGCATATCTCGTTAAAAACATTTACTTTATTTATTTTCAAATCAAAATCAGTCTTTCAAAGTGCCCTTCACTCAGTCAGCAATTTTTCAAAATAAATCTTTTATTATAGCTTTCAGCTATAATAGACTCTTGTTTTGAAGTCAGAAGGAAGTAGTTCATTGTTATGTCCTAGGTTGCTCATGGTTTCAGCCAAAAACACTGGGTTATAAAAGCACTCAAGATTTCTGACACATTTTCAATCAATATTGTGTCAGCTTGTTTGGGTTTCCAATAGGGAATAATTGTAACAGTGCAATACTTGTTTTCAAGTGAAAACTTTACCTGCTATTTCCAAGTATTTCAGGGCCCTGTGAGTGTACTCCCTGGCTCTCGGGAAACTCTTTTGATATTCTTTTGACTACTCTTCCAGAAATCTTTAGAGGGACTGGTTTATATTTAAAAAAAAAGTGTTGAATACATATTTTACTTGTTTGTGTGAATTTTTAGTTTAATTTTTTATGTGTAATAGTTGCATGTTTTTTTTTTTGCCAAAGTCTAATTGTCTCATCTTTGTTACTTTCCCCAAGCCTTTAGTGGGTAGGCTCTATGCCTAGAAGCACTAAAGTGCTTGAAGCCATCCGAATTGGTTTTAACTACCTGCTCCAACTGCAACATCTCTGTGTAGATTAGGCTTTATTGGGGCTGGAGGGCATATGGAAGCGTAGTTGACAGGATTAAGAGGCTATTGAAGTCACTTAAGCTCCTTTAGAGAGCAAAAGACAAGAAAAGAGAATAACTCGGCCCCCGTATTTAACAGATATCCCTTCTTGTGCTAGCTTTCTTCTACCCAGCACCGATAAAGAAGCTCACTATCCACCAATAAGAGCCCTGTTAGATCTTCTCACATCCAGAGAGAGTCACAGACCAAAGATTCTGTTTCCCGCTGTAATTGGGTATATCTGATGCTTAAAATGCCGTTGTTGATCTGGTGCGTTGTTACAGATCTGGTCTGAATGGGAGCAAAAAAAGCAGATGTATGGTTTTCTTTCTTATATTATGGAAACAAATATTGATGCTAGTTTTGGCTATTTGTATGAAACACTGAGATCATTTACAATGGATGAAAAAATACTAACATTATTAGGTTAGCATTGTATCCATGTGTAGAAATAGGGGAAACATGATGTGACTTTGCATAATTGTATATAGATTTCTTGCTTGCTACATAGAATTAGAGACATTTTTTCTGATAATTCTTAGGAAGATGGTTGGAACCTTTTAAAAGCTAATTTAAAACCTAAAAATAGAAATATTTAAATCCCAGATGTAGTGTGGGGTCCTTGTAATTAGAGTTGTTCCGATTCGGATACCAGTATCGGAAATTATCCTGAAAATGCTGGCATCGGTATCAGCAAGAATTGTATTCCAGGCATAGATCCGATAGGAATTAAAATAGAAGTCTTTTTACTGTTTAGTTCAGTTAATTCTGGCACAGATCTTCTGCGCCGCTCTTAAAACAGTTGCACTGAGCTGCTGTTTCAGACAGATGAAGAGTTGATCCCCTGACACCTGTCGGAGAAGGAGCTTGCTGCTACTACTCTGTTTTTTTTCATACTGTTCTATATGAAAATTAATGGCTTGAATCTGCTGTATTCATTAATGGTTCCATTCAAAGTTTTAACCTCAGCCAGTCCTAACGACAATGATAATCACATATATATGATTATATATATGTTTCTTGTAATATACTGGTATCAGTACTCTGTTTCGTCCAATGCTCACAGCACAAGCATCAGGTTTGTACCGGTAGAGAAAAAAATGTTTCAGGAGCATCTCTACTTGTAATACAGGAATTGGAACCTCTGACCGAGTCTCAAGTCTTTCACAAGTTACATCTTCTCTCCCATAAACTCTAACAAGCTTTTCTGTTACTGCTTAGAGACATCAGACTCACAGCCTAATAATCCCACAGCAGTGTTTTAGTGTGGGGTATGTGTGCTCGTGATTATGGTTAGTGTTAATTTTCTGTCCATAAATGTCTTCTGGAAAACTGCATGCAAAACTTCCCATGAATGTCTTTGTAACAATAGATTTCCTCTTGCCACATGTCAGTCAGACCAAATTTGAAAGATTGAAAGTTATACTGTCAACAGATTTCCCAACTTGACAACAACACCTCCAAAGTTGCCATGACCCTCTACTTCTCTGAATAATGATAACCTTTTTCCCTCTCAGTTTATGTGAATAGTCTTGTCTTGCTAGATATGCCATTTCTGTTTTCTGATCATGAATTAAAGAGAGCTCTTTGAGATTTCCGGAGCCCTAGATCTTGTTTTACAACTTAAACCTGCAATAAACTTTGTCTTAGCTTCCTCCGTGACCTGTCTACGGTGTTCCTGGCTATTTATTATATACCTTGTTGACTATGGGTGTGGGAAACAATCGATTTGGCAAAATATAATGATTTTCGTCTGCCCGATACAATATCAATCTCCTAGTTTCTAATACCGATTTAACTGTTCAACGCAGCACTGTTGCTATAAATGAGGCAGTCACAGTAGAAGACGTGGACAGACTCAAACCCCCCAAAGATATGGATACCAAAATAACTGAATGATCAATACCTTCTGATAAACATACACAGAACTCACTTCTTTACTATCTATACATTCATTCTGATAGTTAGGTAAAACTTTGCAATACATGGTGATATTGCAATATTGTGATGTTGTCGTATTGTGCTACATATATCGCAACACATATGCCGGTACTCGGCCCATTGTTGAGTAATCTCTAAAGAAACCCTTAAATACTCTTATCTTTATATTGTAATTTAGCTACATACAGGTGGACTGAATTTAAAAAGACACAACGTTTCTTTGCAACTTGTCTCAATTTTATTTAAGGGTGTCAGAGTAAGTGGATTTAATACAAAGGCTAGCCACAATTACCATATCTTTGTTTTATTATTTTAATTTTAATTATTAATTTAATTTCAATACACAACTATACACTTCATTGTTTTGGGGCTTTTACATTTTATCCCAATAACACAAACAATACTCTGACATTAACATTTTCTTGTGTCTGAAACATACACAAAGGTATGCACAGGTCCACATGCCAGTGTGCACTAACATTTGTATGTATCTGTGTTGACAGGAAAGACGGCCGGCTCCTGCCTGCAGTCTGGCAGTTGTATACTCAAGCATGCTGTCATCACCATCAGTCTCCAGGCTCCTCGCTGCGCTACATCCCCCGTAGGGCAGTTCTCTACTGCCCTGGCAATGATGAACGAAAATTGAAGAAACTGGCCTTGCTGGATGTCGACTGCGCCGTGCTGGACTGTGAGGATGGCGTGGCCCTCACCAAAAAGGTACACATATGCACCTATTGTGCCTCGTATAAATCGAAATAAGCCTTCTATAAACCGGATATCAGGGAAGGCACAAACACACACTTTGTTTTGTGGTGGATTTTAATTCTACCTCCCCCTGCCAGACAGGTGCTTGGTCTTAATCACTGAAAAGAAAACTACCTAAGTGAGATGTTTTAAAACGAGCACATTCACCCCATTGTGATGGTAGAAAAGCCCTTGGTGCCCCCCATCAGCCTTTTAAAGCAAGGTGACCATGTCCCACTGTTCACCCAGTGGGAAAGCGCCAGATGCAGCAGGTTAAAAGCATTTTCATCCTGCCCACTCAACCTCCTCATTGGCCAGCTGAACTGCCCATGAAATCGTGGTTGGAGCGCAGGATAAAGAGGAAGCCCAGGAAAAAAGTTAAACAACAAAGGTTTTTAAGTCATGATAATAAAGATGATTGATATGGCTGGAGGCTGTTCCTGTAGTAGACAAAGACAATAAGCTGATGGCCTGTGTGACTGACAGGCCAGAAACTCTGACCCTGCGCTGGTGTTGGTGGATCTCAGGGCTTCAGTCTTTATAACGTGTCGAAGGGGGAATGTGAAGAAGAATGCAGCATAGGAGGCCCCATCCAGGCAACTGTTCAGCTCCAAACTACCGATTTTTCACACCATCCAGCACATTCAATTTCTGTATGTCTGACTGATTCTGATGAAAATTATTGTACAGGTGCTGGTCATAAAATTAGAATATCATGAAAAAGTAGATTGATTTCAGTAATTCCATTTAAAAAGTGAAACTTGTATATTATATTCATACATTACATACAAACTCATATATTTCAGATGTTTATTTTGTTTAATTTTGATGATTACAAATGACAACAAATGAAAATCTCAAATTCATCATATCAGAAAATTAGAATATTACTGAAGACCAATAAAAACAAAGGATTTATAGAAATGTTGGCCAACTGAAAAGTATGAACATAAAAAGTATGAGCATGTACAGCACTCAGTATTTAGTTGGGCCTCCTTTGGCCTGTATTACTGCAGCAATGCGGCGTGGCATGGAGTCGATCAGTCTGTGGCACTGCTCAGGTGTTATGATAGCCCAGGTTGCTCTAATAGTGGCTTTTAGCTCTTCTGAATTGTTGGGTCTGGTGTATTGCATCTTCTTCTTCACAATACCCCATAGATTTTCTATGGGGTTAAGGTCAGGAGAGTTTGCTGGCCAATTAAGAACAGGGATACCATGGTCCTTCAACCAGGTACTGGTAGCTTTGGCACTGTGTGCAGGTGCCAAATCCTGTTGGAAAATGAAATCTGCATCTCCAAAAAGTTGGTCAGCTGCAGGAAGCATGAAGTGCTCTAAAACTTCCTGGTATGTGGCTGCGTTGACCCTGGACCTCAGAAAACACAATGGACCAACACCAGCAGATGACATGGCACCCCAAACCATCACTGACTGTGGAAACTTTACACTGGACTTCAAGCAACGTGGATGAAGTGCCTCTCTTCTTTTCCTCCAGACTCTGGGACCTTGATTTCCAAAGGAAATGCAAAATTTACTTTCATCAGAGAACATGACTTTGGACCACTCACCAGCAGTCCAGTCCTGTTTCTCTTTAGACGCTTCTGACGCTGTCTGTGGTTCAAGAGTGGCTTGACACAAGGAATGCGACAGCAGAAACCCATGTCTTTCATACGTCTGTGTGTGGTGGTTCTTGAAGCACTCACTCCAGCTGCAGTCCACTCTTTGTGAATCTCCCCCACATTTTTGAATGGGTTTTGTTTCACAATCCTCTCCAGGGTGCGGTTATCTCTCTTGCTTGTACACTTTTTTCGACCACATCTTTTCCTTCCCTTCGCCTCTCTATTAATGTGCTTGGACACTGAGCTCTGTGAACAGCCAGCCTCTTTAGCGATGACCTTTTGTGTCTTGCCCTCCTTGTGCAAGGTGTCGATGGTCGTCTTTTGGACAACTGTCAAGTCAGCAGTCTTCCCCATGATTGTGTAGCCTATAGAACTAGACTGAAAGACCATTTAAAGGCTTTTGCAGGTGGTTTGAGTTAATTAGCTGATTAGAGTGTGGCACCAGGGGCCATCAATTTTGAACCTTTTCACAATATTCTAATTTTCTGATATGATGAATTTGAGATTTTCATTTGTTGTCATTTGTAATCATCAAAATTAAACAAAATAAACATCTGAAATATATGAGTTTGTATGTAATGTATGAATATAATATACAAGTTTCACTTTTTAAATGGAATTACTGAAATCAATCTACTTTTTCATGATATTCTAATTTTATGACCAGCACCTGTATATTTTAAATAAGATTTAGTTCATTCATTTTCCTTGGTTTTCTAAAGAGCCTCATTTTATCTCAGGAATTAGCTGGTGTGTTTCACTTGCCACCCTGGTGTGTGCTGCTACAATTGAAGACAGACTACATTAGCTACAGGGCAGAACAATTCCTTCAAAATGAAATATAATGTACCTCAGCATGCTTACCTCTTGGTCTTCCTCTCGTAACCCTCTGAGTAATGCACATCTAAATACCAACAAAACAATAACTTCAGGAAAATTGCATTCTACATCAGTGGTTGTTCTGCCTAATAATCCCATTACTTCAATCTTTTCATTTCTAAGCATCATAACTGTGCAGGTTTGCCATTATAGTCCTCTTCAACACGATGGCTTTCAGCCCAGTGTGGAATGCTTCTAAGCTATCGCACGTTTCCTTTGTTGTGCTGCAATTTGCTCAGTGAATACATCTGAATTTTTTAGCTACTTCATTTCAGTACATAGTTTTTATTTTGAAGAATTAGATTTCAGTAGTGTAACTTTTCCTTCTATTACTGCCTTGTTTTTAGGTCATTTGTGTTAGAAAATATAATTTCAACTTAGTGACTTTTGCTGAAAAATTTTGGGGCAACAGACTGTGACCATTTTTCGGAATATTTTATTTTACGACCTAAAAACCATTACTAATAATGATCTCATGCAAAGATGCTAAGATGCAGTTGGAAGGCATGTGGGCCCTGATTGGGAGATGATCATGAGAGGCTGATCGCTCCTCATTAACCTGTATACTACACAACGCAGGACGCACAATGAGGCTGAAACTCGACTGGATCGAAAAAAGTATTACACAACTTAAGAATCGGCCCGAAAAGGCCATAAAAGTGTACAGTGTTTGCCCACCTTCAGCACCAGTAGGGTTTCAAGTTTGAAAGATTGTTTATTTATTTATTTATTTTTTAAATCTGTGTTTTGCATATCTTGTGGGAGGGGGGTTCAGCTAAGTTGAGAATCGATTGTTTACTCGGGTGCCACAGTAAACATAAGCTTGGCCACCTTGTGGCTCATGGCCATCACCAGGCACCACTGGGAGATTTTCAGAGTTAAAAAGATGGCTTCTTACAGTGGTGCAACCTTTGATTTTTTTCATATTTGTAATTCTTCCATTAAGAAATTAGGCTGCATGTTTTTGAACAGGCTTGGAATTATGTTTTAGAATGTAACTAAAGTTATTAAAAAACTCAATCAAGTGCACAGAAAAACGTCAAAATAATCAATTAAAATCAACAGACACCAGATACACATAATAATCATAGGGAAATAGTCAATATAAGATAAGATATTTTGTTTATAACAGCTTTTCACCTGGATTGGTTTGCAGACTATTAATCAAAGGCAGCTTTAACAGGTGGATCTTAAAGGAATAGTTCACCCAAAACATGATTAGCCTTCATTTTCTACTCACCCCCATGCTGAACAACACTCTGGAGTACTTTTTTGATATCTCAAATGCATCTGGAGATCTGGGAGGCTTCTTGCTGTCTGCTGACATTCAAATAATGGAGGTGAATGGTGCCCGAGGCAGAAAGGTCCATAAAAGTCCACAAAAAACGTGTCAATATTCCTCCATACTGCTCGTCCAATGTATTCCAAGTGTCCTGAGTGGGTAGCATCCAGAATTTACTCGAAACAAAGTCATTTAGAATGTTTTTAGAGCATAAACAGTAGTGTATAGGATTCCCTAAAAGCGCGCGCCTGCGGGTTCACGACTCTACCGAAACCGCGTCAGACCAAACCAGATGAAAGTGCGCATTCAGCGTCTGCTCTGCCGATAATGCAAGCGTAGAAGAAGAAGTTCCGCTTTTCACCTGTTTATTTTCTGCCGTGAAAAACAGTTGAAAAGCGGAACTTCTTCTTCTACGCTTGCATTATCGGCAGAGCAGATGCTGAATGCGCACTTTCATCTGGTTTGGTCTGCCGCGGTTTCCGTAGAGTCGTGAACTCGCAGGCGCGCGCTTTTAGGAAGTCCTATACACTACTGCACTGCAAAAAATAGAAATCTCAATAAGTTATTTTTTCTTAAAATAAGTGCGTTTTTCCTTGAATTGAGGAGATAGGTAAGACACTTTGCCAATGGAACAAGACAATTTCCTTTTAAAATAAGAAAAAACTATTTTATCGTCTTATTTCAAGTAAATATTATCTAACTATCTTATTTTAAGAGTAAAAATACTCATTCCATTGGCAGATCATCTTATTTTTCTGCTCAAATTAAGGGTAAATATACTTAATTTAAGAATTATTTTACTTATTTCTGGATTGTTTTTACAGTGTGTTTAGGCTCTAAAAACATTCTAAATGATTTTGTTTCGAGTAAATTCTGGACGCTACCCACTCAGGACACTTGGATTACATTGGACGAGCAGTATGGAGGAATATTGACACGTTTTTTGTGGACTTTTATGGACCTTTCTGACTCGAGCACCATAGACCTCCATTATTTGAATGTCAGCAGACAGCAGAAGCCTCCCAGATCTCCAGATGCATTTGAGATATCAAAAAAGTACTCCAGAGTGTTGTTCAACATGGGGGTGAATAGAAAATGAAGGCTAATCATGTTTTGGGTGTACTATTCCTTTAAGCCTTGATTTAAAGGGATTTGGACTTTTGGTAGTTTTCTGGGAGTTTGTTCCAAATGAATGG